AAGAAGAAGAAGAAGAAGAAGAAGAAGAAGAAGAAGAAGAAGAAGAAGAAGAAGAAGAAGAAGAGGTAAAGAAACCCTGCACTCCCCAGTAGCATGTGTAGGTCCCCAGAAAGAACAATCTCCATTTATTGGGAGGTAAAGAGGTAAAGACAGGAGAGCACTATGAAGACTCTGACCCGTTTTTTTGATTCCTTGACGGATTCTTCCTCAATTTCTTTCTCACTGCCAAAAGATATCCAGGGCTTGGAGACGGGCGGTTTGTATATGTACACTTCTTGAGCATGATCCTTGAGCTCTTCTTGTTCCTCTGGCACTTCTAAGGCCTAGAACACACCACCAAGCAAACAGCTGCTCAAATGTCCCACGTGCGTGTCTCTCACAATTAACCTGACTTTTATGTGGGTGCAAGAAGCCCTTCCCATTGCAGAAGTCATGGGAGCCAGAAAGGGTTGGGGGAGGGGTGAGAGAAAGATATGCAATGTAAAAGACATCAGGATATAGAAAGATGACAAGGAGAAACAAAGATGAAGGAGGAGGAGGACAGACACCCTCTTCTTGCTGCCCCTCCTTACAAATAATATGGATTTTGCTAAGTTCGATGGTTAGAATAAAAAGGTCAGTTTCCCTGAGTTTATAAAGGGTTATTTGATAAGAGGGAAAATATCTATATACATATACATACATGCACACACACCTGTGTGTGTATACGTGTGTGTGTGTATATATATATTCTATTTGGGATAACCCTGAGGTTTAATTTGTGCTCCTGAGTTCCTCCACAGATCTAGGATAGAGCCCACCATTCTGAAGCTGAGCTGAGCCCAGGGAACACAGCTATGTCTAGGGACCTAGGATGTCTCAGAAGCCTTGCTTCCTTCCGCAGCCAGCCTGCAAGGCCTTGGGATTTATTTACCTTGAAATAGTTTTCCTTGCCCTCCTCAGTTCCAACGAGGTAAAAGTTGTGTCCATATTTGAAGTCTTTGTCATAAACGAGGAGAAGCTCCTCCCCTGGGTATTCCTGCGGGGTACATCAGCAGAGGGTGAGGGTCAATGTTCATTCAGCTTCCGCATGTGCCAGCAGTAAACCAGCATGGGCTGAAGTGTAAATGTAGTGATAATCTGCCTGCTAAACCCAAATCCCCAAAATATTTGATTAAAACACAGTGGATCCATGGACATTTCACCATATGATTAAAGAAAAAAACCCGCCAAGTTTATTTATTTTCATTTTATATGTATAAGTGCTTTGTCTGAATGTATTTATGTGCACCACGTGTGTGCTTCATTTGTATGGCAGTCACAGGAAAACTGGAGTCAGCTAGTTGTGAGGCGCCAGGAGGATGAAGGGAACCAAACCTGTGAAGAGGGGCTAGTGCTCTGAAGAGCCGAGTCACTTCCCCAGTCCATTATTACATAATGTTATTTCTAACCGAAACAGGGAAACATCGGGGATGGGGAAGGGGAAGATGGCTTAGTTGCTGAGGCATGAGGACCTGAGTTCAGATTCCCAGTATCCACGTAAGGACTGGGGCGCAGTGATTTGGCCTATATGACCTCAGTGCTGGGATCGGGGGAGACACAGGGAATGTCAACTCATTGGCCAACCAGTCAAGCCTAGCTGAGGGGTCCCAGGTTCAGTGTGAGTGGCCTTGTCTAGAAAAAGAAAGCGGAGTGCTGTTGAGGAAGACCCCTGAGGCTGACTTCCGGCCCCCACAAAACACACACACACACACACACACACACACACACACACACACACACACATGCTCCTTCACTCACAGAGGTACACTTACCCACTCCAATCCCCCAGCATTAGAAAATGTAGGTTGGTGCAGTCTATATGCCAGGAGGAGAAGCAGGACCAAAACCACCCACTAAACGATTTAAAGCAGGATAAGCAAAAATATTTGAGACAGGGTCTTAACTTTGTAGCTCAGGATGGTTTGGAAGTTGCTCTATATCCCAGGTTGGCCTCAGCCTCCCAAGTACCACCACACCAGCTAGATTCTAAGTAATAGGGTAAGAATGAGCCTTTCAGGTATGGTCCTCACACAGGATGCCCAGGGGGCTGGGAGTAAGGGGAAGGCAATTGCATGGCAAATCTTCTCTGTCTTGTGCTGTATTCTGGGAAATTCCTGGGTTGGGAATGAGAGCAAAGAGCAAGCTTGGATTTACCCGGACAATCCTTTTGACTGGGTGGAAGTCGGATACTGCAGCTCGGTTTAGCAGGTCTGCCAGGATGTCTTCTTTTCTGATGAGCTTATACTGTTGTTCATCGGTCATGTCTTCCTCTGCTCGACAGCTGAATATTTCCTGAGTCTTGGTAGTTATTACTAATGGATAGATTTCTGGATGGCCTGTGAACACGAAGTGGAATTTGGACACAGGGAATGTGCAATTGTTTAATTTTAAATCATTGTCTTGGTTAAAAAAGACACCCAAGTGCCCACTCTGGCCACACAGCAGGTGCCACTACAATCAGTGAATATGTGCGGGGGAGATGGGAAAGATGGAGTATGCAGTGGAGAGATGGGGGAGAAAGCAAAGCTGAGCGGTTTGGTTTGTGCACTGTGGAGAGAGGTGGAGCTGGAGACTCAATGGAAGTGAGGAACAGGTGGATATGAGGAGCCTGCACAACCATCTGAGGCCATGGCTGCCACCAAGGTCCCTGTCCGGGTCCCTGGCCCTACCGCAGCCAGGGTCTGTGTTGATGGCTGTGGCCCACGTTGCCACCAAAGGCCATCCAGATGTCAGTGGTCTGGGCTGCTGCTGAGACATGCGGATGTCTGAGGACTGTGCCCCTGCCAGGAGACACACTGATCTGAGTGGCCACCTGAGGCCATGGTGACACCCGGGCCCATGCTGCCACCAGGGGCCATGTCTGGGTCTGTGGGCCTATCGCAGCCAGGGTCTGTGTTGATGCCTGAGGCTTGTGTTCCCACCAAAGGCCATGGGGATGTGTCCAGACTGGGCTGCCGATTGAAGCCATGTTGATGTCCAAGCACTGTGCTGAGCTGGTCCTGCCCCTCAAAGGCTGTGGCACTTGGGAGGGCTGGCCATTCCACATTCCTTTCTTTGCATTGTCCTCTAGCCTGGTGACTGCTCAGCAGCTTTACCTTCCAGTCTTTCAGTCCTCCCTGAGCAGATACCATCAGAATGGGACTTCCCAACACCCCAGAAGTAAAGGCCTTCCTTGCAGCTCAGAAAAAAAAAAAAAAAAAAAAAAAAAAAAAAGTGAGACTCTAAATTTATTGTGTTATAGTTCAAGTAATTACACTTGCTATAAACATTTTGAGCCACAGGCTATAAAGATGTCTCAGTAAATGGCTTCTTTGCCTTGCAAACCTTAGGACCAGAGTTCCACCTGCCACACCCGTGGGCATAGGGAGATAGCCTTGCAACGCCAGCAACACTGAGAAGGGAGCTAGAGACAGGAAGATCTCAGGAGCTTCTTGGCTAGGCAGCCTCATGTACTTTGAAAGGTTACAGGCCAAGAGAGACTCTATCTCAAACAAACAAAATGTAGCAGGTGGCTGAGGAGCAATTGATAGCCAAAGGTGTCCTCTGACTACCACACAAAAACGCACACATGTGCCCACTCATACACAAGCATGCATGTGCACACACAAAATCTTGAGCAAAATAAAAAGAAAAAGCAACCAATTAATTTTTATTAATAAATAAATAATATCCTTATTAATTATTAATATTTTGCTCTATCCATCCATGTAGACCTTTAAAAAATTCTGAATACTGCTTTTAACACTTTACTGTTACGTGTATTTCTGCTATGACATTAAAAACCATCTCTGAAACATTATTTTAAATGGACTTATTTCTGAAGCACGATGTTTGATCATCTTCTTATTGGTGAGGGCTCAGTTTCTCTTATTTGCTTCTGTTTATTACAACTATTCTTACAAATTAAAGAAGCTTATGTGTTGTTCTTGGATCACAAACCGTTGTCTTGGGATAGTTTTAGAAGCGAAAGTACTGGTCTAAGCGTATGGGGATTTTCTTTTAGGTTCTTTCCGCTTCCTGGTCTTCCGGTTTGTTCTCCTACCCCAGACCAGTCCCTAGCAGTGGTGTGCCTTGGGTGAGAGGATGCAACAGGGCAAAGGAGCCTTTCACCAGCCTTTTACCAACCTTCAACCAGGAGCTTTTCCAGTTTCTTATCCTATTCCACATCACTAGCTTCTGCCAGTCAATCTCTGTCTTCCTACAGCGTGTTATCTCATCTCTGAGTTCCTGGGGCCCCAGGGCCAAGCCTCGCCTTCTCCACCACACTGCGCCATGTTTTTCATCCTCCTCCCAGCGGCTGTGTGTATGTACCAGCACGGTGGGGCGAGATGTGTTGCCTTAGGTTGGAATTCTGTGCTTATTTCTCTGCAGAAGTATCCTGCTCCCTGGTTGCTCTATGGGATAATTATTCAGGTCATTTGAGGGTCTGAAATGATTTTGTGCAAAACTCGGATTATGTTTGGGATTATATTTTAAACTGCAATTAGCTGGTGCAACAGTCATTTGGAATACAAATTAATTCTCAGTACCAGAGAAACCCACCTTTATTTCCCTCAGGAGTATGAAAAATAACATTTTTAGTTAGCGACTTTTCAGTTAACCAAGTTCCTCCGGAAGTGGTTGAAACCTGTGGTGGTTTCTCCAATAGAGGGCATAGTAAGGGCTCTGTAGTTCCTGTAGGAAGCAGCTGGGAGGAACTGTGCACTTCTCTACACCGGGGTGGGAAAGGAGCAGGTGTACGCTAATGCAGGTGTTCAGAAAGGCAGGGTGCTGCCTGCCTCCCAAGAAACTGGAAAGAGACAAAAGTCATGTTCTCCCTTCAAAGCTGTAATTTGATGTTTAAGGGTCTTTTGGGACAGAGTCTGTGGTCATTAGCTTTGTCCACACAGTGCAGCGTAGGGTCACCTGGGAAAGATTATCTACAGTAGCTTGGCCTTCTGGGCATGTCTGTAGAGGATGATCCTAATTAGAAGATGTGGGCAGTTTTAGCCCACTGTGGGTGGCACCATTCCCGAGGCAGGGGTGGAGTGGGATGTGTGTGGCAGTGGCTTGAGTTGTAAGAGAAAGAAGAAAGCCAGCTGAGTGCAAGAAAGGACGCATGCATTTATTTTTATCTGCTCTTGACTGAGGATGTGAGGGAAGTAGCAGTTTGAAGGACCTGCCTTTACTTCCCTTTCACTAAGGGACAAGCCTGGACTTGGGAGCCAGATAAACCCTACCTCCCTGATGTTGCTTTTGTGTCTGGCTATTTTATCATGGTAACAAAAGTAAAATCTGGAACAGGATCTCACACTGTGAAATCCAAGGCTGTCCTAGAATTTACCATGGTTGGCCTTGAATTTGAGGTGGTTCCCCAGCCTCAAGACTGTGCTTCATGTTTCCTGTTCCACTAGACACACACTTCAGATTCTACTAGCTTAGCATTTTTTTTAAATATATAAAAATGGTTCACTTTTACTAATTGGACATTTTAAAGACAATTTAAAAATAGGATTTAACATTTCCGTATGTAGCAGTTAGCAAACATTATAGGCTATTTGTAGATGAGGCAGGCAATCAGTGGTCGCTGTAAACAAGAGACAGCTAGCAGAATTGCAGGTCCTCTACAGTCCAGTGCCTTTCTGCCCCATCATAGCAGGCGGAATAGAGCAAGGTCCAAGGACTCTGCCAAACCGCAGTCTGTGGTGAAACTTAACAAGAATGGCTGCTCTCTGGGTTTTAAGCCATGTTCTGAGGACAGCATCAGGACCAGAGGCAACAGAACTGGGGCTGTGGAGATCAGCAGTGAGAGATGCTCACTTGGGCCTAGAGGTTAGTTAGTGGGATGCCATTTGCTCCCAAGAGACAGAGCAAGGCCCGGGGAACAGAGGGGGACTCTGGAGCTTCCCCGGTTGTCAGCTGCAGGGCTGTTGGCCATGGCCACAGTGAAAATGAGCTGGTATCAGATGAGTATTGCCTTTTGAGCTCCAGTTTTCAATATGCTCTTCTGAAAGAAGCAACAATGTGCAGGCATCTAACAAAACGCCTTCCAATACTCTCATGATAAGTTAGAAATTATTGCTGAGTATGTGTGTGGCGTACGTGTGTGGGTGTGGGTATACAGCAGTGTGTGTGTGTGTGTGTGTGTGTGTGTGGCTGCACAGCAGTGATTTGTGTATGTGTGTGAGCATGTGTGCACAGCAGTGCATGAAGGATGGATGGATGTGTGTGGGTGTCCAGCAGCGCATGCTGTATGGATGTAGGCATGGGTACACAGGGAGGAGCTTTGGTGCTCAGAAAACAACTGTGAAGTTGGTACCCTCCTTCCACTCTATTTTGCAATTTTTAATGTTTTAGAGATTATTTTTATTTTATGTGTACAGGTGTTTTGCCTGCACAAACACCATGATGTGCACCACGTGTGTGCAGTGCCTGCAGAGGCCACAAGAGGGCATCAGAACCCCTGGAACTGGAGTTGTGAGCCACCACATGTGGCTGGGAATCAAATCCAGGACTTTCGGAAGAGCAAAAGACTTTTTGGTGCTCACGAACACTGAGCCATCTCTCATCCTCTCCTTTCACTTTTATTGAGGTTATGGGGACCAAACTCGGGTTGTCAGGCTTGTCTGGAAAGTGCTGTATCTACTGAGCCATATTGTCAGCCCTCAACAATCTCAGTAGATTTCTTTTTTAAAGGACTGCATTGCCTAAATCTATTTCTCCATCTAAGATCTTTCTGTGTTTATTTTTTTCTTTATTTTAACAGATCCAGTCCAAGTGTGGGAGAGGCTGGGGCAGGCAGGTACGAAGTTGGTGTGATTCTAAGTAACGTGTTCTGAGTGTTCTCTCTGCTCACCCATGCTCTCCATGCTCACTGGCTACATAGCGAGGCTCTAAGTAACATAGTCTAAGTGTTCTCTCTGCTCACCCATGCTCTCCATGTTCATGGCCTCCTCCTCTTCAGTATCTGGGACAAAAAGAAACAGCAAACTCACATTTTAAAGTCAGATTCTCTCACTTTGATATAATATTGTAAAACATCAGACATAAAATACAACTAAAAACGTGGGCTGGAGGATTCAACTCTCACGTGACTAGGTACAGAAGGAGCAGGCAACTGTCTTTCTGACAGAGTAACCATTGGTCACTGTGGCATATAGTTAATGTTGTAGGAAAACAGGTGGGAATGCATTTAACATAAATCTAAACGTTTAACTCTGCAGTGCCTGACTTCATGATAGCAAGCGCATCTCATTTCACGTTGATAGTTAAAGCGACCCATTACACGGTACATCACACACACATAAGAAATAAAGCCACAAAAATTCCACAAAGAAATAAACGACAACAACGACGCCTACCTAGCGCGGTTTGCTTGGCCTTCTTTTTATGCTTTTTCTGGGGGCTCTTTTTTGTTTTCGGTGCCATGGCTGTAATGTAGGCTGTAAAAAGAGATACTGCTGTTAAATCCTGGTTTACCCTTTCAGGGGTGAAGCATCTGTATTTAGTGAACATAATGTTTTCTAGGTTTGGGCCTGGACGAGGGCAACAGTGCATTTTCAGCAGGAACTCGTGTGCCAGGGCTAAAGGTTTTAGTGCAACGACAGCAACGTGATTGATGAGGTCCCCTCTCTGTGGAGCTGTTGGCTGAGGCGCCTCATGAGCACGCCCGCTTCGCCGGGGTCCAGCTCTCTGCAGCTATCTCTTCACAAGTGTCTCAGCTGCAAAGGTGAGTCCATGGGATGAGGCAGGCCCACGGCACACATATATGTGTATACACATAATTTCTAAGCAGATATAATTCAGGTCATACCTTTGTCTTGCCATGTGAGCATGTGACCATCATGGTCTTATGTGTGCCATCGCAGGTGCTTTGACAGAATATGGCACTGGACAAGGTCGTCCCCATGACATCAAACCCCTGTCAAGATGCCCTCCGTAAACTCATCCTAAATGCTTAGATGTGTGATTTCAGAGCCAGGTATCGTGGCATGACTGTCATTAGAGTATTTGAGGGGAGGCTGAAGGAGGAGGACTGCCATGCATCAGAGGCAAGCCTGGGCTACAGGCCAGCCTGGGCTACCGCACAGCACATGTGACTTCATGGGTCTGTCTATTTCAGGATTTAGAAAGTCTTTGCTTTTTAGCTGAACGGTCCTGGGCAAACTACAGATCTTCATAGTGTCTGTTTGTTTCCTTCCTTAGTGGGATAAAATAAAGTCTCCCTCACAAGGGGGCTGTGAAGGCTCAATAAAAGTGATAGAAACTGTGTCATTGTTAAGTCTGTCACTTTAGAGAGGCTTGTCTTCTGTTATCAAATCAACGTCAACACAGATGCAGCATTATTCTGTAGCCGGTGGCTAACACATCACCGGTCTTTGTTGTTCTTTACCCTTCACTACAAAAAACTCACCAAAGTGTGAGTGTCTGTGGGTTTTTCCAGAAATTTCTTTCTCGTGTGCACTGAAAATGTTATGTCATCTTTGGGCATGTGTGCACATGCGTGAAGTGGGGGATGGAGGGTGCTGCGTGTGCCGCTGTGCCTGTGCGGCACTGGAAGGACAAGGCTGTGGACTTTTTTCTTTTGCCTCCTTTATGTAAGCTCAGGGGACTGACCTCAGCTCTTCAGACTTGCACAGCAAGCACATTTTGTGCTGTGCCTTGGATGTCCAATGTGCGTATTTTTAAATAGTGATAATTATAAATAATCACACAGGTGTTTATGCCAGGCAGTTTGAAGCATTTCATTTGCATTTTAAGGATTTTTTTTTTTTTGAGAAAGGATTTCCCTATTTGTCTACCAGCACTGGCATTGGATTTAAGACATTTCTGCCTCAGCTTTTCTGTGAACTTAATCTTAGTCACATTTTATTAATTGCTGTTGTAAATATATTGTAATTGGGGTTTCTGTTGCTGTGATGAAACACCATGACCAAAACCAAGTTGGGGAGGAAAGGGTTTGTTTGGCTTACTCTTCCACATCATAGTCTATCATTGGAGGAAGTCAGGAACTCAAGCAGAGCAGGAACCTGGAGGCAGGAGCTGATGCAGAAGTCATGGAGGGGTGCTGCTTACTGGCTTGCTCCTCATAACTTGCTCACCAGGCTTTCTTATAGAACCCAGGACCACCAGCCCAGGCATGGCCCTACCCACAATGGGCTGGATCCCTCACCATCAAATCACTAGTTAAGAAAATCCTCTATAACTGGATCTTACCGAGGGAGTTTTTTTACTTGAGGGTTTCTTCTTTCAGATGACTCTAGCTTGTGTCAAGTTGACCTTAAACTATCCAGCATGCAAACAGAACCATTTAAAACAATGGTCTTCATTGATAAAGGCACAATTTATGCTTTGGTCAACATTTTATAATTCTGACATTTTAAAACATTTCTGTTCTCTCCCCTCCTTTTCCCCACCTTGTATGTGCGCAGCAGCATGCCTGTGTGTGTGCCACAGAACAAATTCTGGTGGCATGGCTGTCTACCTACTATTATTTCTGAGACAGGGTCTCTCACTGGCCTGGAGTTTACCAAGTAGGCAACGCTAGGTGACCATCAAGCAATGGGAATCTTGCTGCTTCTGCTTCAGCAATGCTGATTACAAGTGTGTGTAACCACAGGTCCAGTTTTCATTGGGCAGTGGTGGCACACCCCTTTGATCACAGCCCTAAGGAGGAAGAGATGCCAGCCTGGACTAAAGAGTGAGCTCTGGGACAGCCGGGGCTACACAGAGAAAACTGTCTTGAAAAAAAATTCTTTAGATTTGCTATTTATTTTATTTTGTGTGTGTGTGTGGCATTCAGAAGGAATCAGATCCCTTGGCACCGGAGCTACCAATGACTGTGGCCTACTAGGTGGTGCTGGGCCCTTTACAGGGGGATCACGTGATCTTAACTAGGGAGCCATTCCTCCAGCCTCTTTATCCTGCTTTTTAACTTGATTTTTTTGTGATCAAGCTCAGGTGCCCACAGCCTGGGCATTTAGCCAACAGAATTATCTCCCCAGTCCTCAACTATCTACTTAATTTTTTTAAAGATACATATTTATTTACTGATTTATTTATGTAGTTGTGTATCGTTTACTTATTTTTGTATGTGTGTGGAGGGCAGAGGGCACCTTGCTGGAGTTGGTCCTCTCCCTCTGCCTTCTGCGTTTGTATCACACTCAGGCCGCCCAGCTTGGTGGCAAGCTCCTTTACCTACTGAGCACCCCCTGGTCCACACTTCTACTTTTTAAATATTCTGCAATAAATGGCTGTCCCGGCTTTTCAAAGTGAGTGTTGTTCTCCATCTCGTTCTCCAGAACCATACATTCAAACCATTCTCTTTTGGAAGGTTTTTCATCAGTATGCTCCTCCCCGTTTTCTATCCAGTTTCATCTGGCTCAAAATACTCATTTACACCCAGCATCATACAGCTGCAGCACAGGCACTTACACAGGGGCTCACGCGCACACACGCACGCACGCACGCACACACACACACACACACACACACACACACACTTCCTAACTACTATAACCGCCATTACTGCTGTATACTGTTACTGACCTATGCAAACAACGATCAAGTTTCTTCCCTATACAAAGACACTCTCTTTCAGTGTAAGCTTATTGTCACTTGAAATGCGAATTCCCCAAGTCCCTTCTACTTTCAAGAGTTGATTCTGCAATTTTAGGAGTATTTATCGGGGGATAATGCTGCACTGGTGGTCTGCTTTTTCACTCAGCCTGAATCAGTCTTGTCCTGACGTATTTCAGTGGCGCTGTTGAGGACCTGACAGAGGTCCTCAAACATTCATCTCCCTGTCACCACAGGGAGATGCTGTGGACACAGTCAGCGTTCAGCACAGCAGGAGGAGGAGAAAGGTCACACTGGGCAGCAATTAGGTCCTAGATATGCTAATCACTAGGGGAACGAGACAAGAACCCTCCTTCAGTGAGTTCATGTTCTCTATTCCTCCTCCTGGTTAGCCCTCTCCCATCCCCCGGTGATTGCTTCAGTCCACATTAATCTTCTACTGTGATAATGAGTAACCAAGATCACGTCATTCTCATTTTCTTTTACTCATAATTTATTGCATACCAGGCAATTCGAGAGCAAGAAAAGACAGTATCTGCTCTCTGCCTCCAGCATTCTTAGAACACCCGTTAACTGCTCTGTCGTAGCTGTGTTTGTCTCACTGGCTTGGGCTGGAAGGATATTTTGAAAGTAGGGAAAAAATATCTCTTTATTTTCTAGACTTCACTGACACTAGCACATACAGGGAGGTTTCCAAACACCCATGAAATGGTAATGAGATATTTCGTTTTCCCATGCCTCCTTTCCCGTTCTGAACCGCCCTTACCTGGAATCACTAAAGGGAAAAGAAATCAGTCTCCTGGCAGTTCCCGGGAGAAAAGCTCCTTCGAGAGAGCTGGAGGTGGGAGCCTGTGGCTTCTCGCTCAGAAAATAAATCTCCTATCTCCAGCAACAGCTGCCCGGCGGGTATTGCTAGGACGCGTCCGTTGCTAAGGGGCGGGGTGGGGGAGGTCCTTTCTGCTGAGACTGACAAAAACCCCTTCACCAATACAGTGTCTGCTCGCAGAGAGTCTCTCATAGAAGGCTTGTGATTGGTTGTCCTGTTGTGGTGACGTCACCCAAAGTAACCTTGGTCAGTTTCCCACCAGCAAGCGCTTCCGGTCGGCGCCTGGCAGTGGTCCGGTTGTCCCCAGGTCCATGCCTTTCTTGCCTCGCCTCCGCTGCAGCGTTACTCAGAGGGGAGTCCTTGTGGGGTGCCGCTGGGCAGCCCCTCGGCCAGCCTCCTGACTTCCCTGTTGAAGGGAGCAGGATACACCTAGGAACCTGCATGAAATTGGTGTGTGGAGTGGAAGCTGCGTTCGGTTTGTCTTGAACATCCCTGACTACTGAGGTGCATTTTTCCCCCCAAAGTAATTTTGTATAGTTTGGCTCCAGCCGGAAGTCCAAGACGCAGAGGGAAAGCTTGACTCCCTGTGGGTTGTAAGGATCATTTCATCTGACTACGGGACACCTGGGATTGTGAGGGCCAAGCTCATCTCTGCAGGCTTCTCTACCTTTCTTTAAAAACGCAAATTAGAACTGCTAATTTGTAATCTGACAGCTGGCAAACGCCAGATAGCGTTATCACTCCATTTCCATCTTCACATCTACCCCGTACTCCCAACGCAACCAAGGTTTGGCCCAGCACTTTTGATCCACCTCTAGGAACCCAGGGGCATGAAAGCTCAGGGGCAAAGGGCTAGCAGTAGGCTAAAGGTAGGAGCACTTGCCGCATAAGTGTGAGGGTTACTAAATTCAGACGCAAAAATTCGCTCAAAGCTGGGCAGAACCCAGCGCTCGAGGTGAAGACCATAGACTTAAAGTTCTCCCCTGCTCCTCACATGGACACTTGGTCTATGACTCATTCACAACAAGATTACTTTTTTTTTTTTTTTTTGAGAGTTTGGTATTCTGTTCCACATTGTATTAGTGTTTATGTCAAATTTAAAATGCGTAAAGCCCCTGATGACTAAAATAGACATAACATTGAATGAAAACGAAACAACAGACAGCCGTGACATGCTCATCACTTGGTTTTCTGCCCTGACATTCCATCTCAGGAGACAGCCTGTCCGCAGTGGCTACTGCTGGCTCCCCAACGATGCCTTCTCCTCTTGAAACCGTGGTTGTTTCTTCGATTTCTGCCTCAGTCTGTGTACCTTTCTCCGTCTTCACTGCTTCATAAGGCCCTTCATCATTCAGGGCTCAGCTCAAACACCATCTCCTCTCAAAGCCATGTAAGCACGCAGAAGAATTTGGTGCGCTTTCTTGCTTTTCCATTTGAGATCAGCTGTGGCCACTTTTCACACATCTCCATTCTTGACTCTAAGGCTGAAGTAAGACCTCATTCCTTTAAATTGATCTCATCCAACACGGCTGCTGATGCATAGATTTTATATAATATACACATATATAATATATACACGTATGTAACAGAAATGTAATGTTATGTACGTGATACATTTTATGTGAATATGTATAATTGCTTAACTGTTCATTCTGGAAAATAAATGCAAGAGATATTAACAAAGGCTATTTTTAGTCCTTCAAATGATATATTTTCCTTTAAAAAACTTCCCCACAATCCTGTTAGATTTCGGGATGATTGTAACCTTGTGATTTGGTTGAGACACAGGTCTTGGTGTCATCTTTTCTTTAGACACACCCCAAGGAATGAGTCATAAGTCACAATACCAAGGAAGTAAAAAAAGAAATGGGAAGTGTTTGCTGATTTCTTCATGTTGCAGATTCATGATTGCCATCATCTGTTCTTCGGTGGGAGTGGCCAGAAGACTGGCCACCAGGATGACTGGTGAACATTTATGCCTTCTCAGGGGGCATGGATTCAAATTTCCTCAATTTTGAAGGTATTAAAAATTAGTCTTAGTTTTGTTAGTTAAGAGTAGTGAGTAGAGCAATGGAAATTTACAATTTACAATGGAAAATGATGCCTAGCAAAATTTCAATTTACAATGGAAAATGATACCTAGCAAAATTTCAAATTGAATCTATTGTAGAAAATCTGACAAGTCAGAGATAAGACTGGGTTTTAGTAATGTTGTTGCTGTTTCTAAGAGCTCGGAATGGAGGGCTGTGGACAGGCTGTTTCGTTATTTGCAGCGGTGTGCCTGGAAGAGAGGACAGGTGAGAGGGAAAGAAGCATCCTGGTTTGAACTCTGAGCTCCCGAGAGATTACTTGTAGGTGCCTGGGGAACCGTCGCAGCCTACGGTAGAGGGAACAGAGGAACATCTCCCAGTGAATTCTCAGTCTCAGAAATGAGAAGGTCGGACAGAGAGGCTGACCTGTAGCTATTGATGGAAGGCACCAATTCTAATAAATATGGTGTGTGCTTGTATAGGCACCTGAGTGTGCAAGCTCCTGTGTGCAGGTGTGTGTGTGCGTACATGGATGTGCATACATGTGCACGAGCATGCGTGCATACATGTGCAGAGGCAGAAGACAACCTTGGATCTTGTTCCTCACAAACCATCCATCTGTTTTTTTTTTTTTTTGAGACAGGTTCTCACACTGGCCTGAAGCTCATCAAGCAGACTAGACTGGCTGGCCATAGAACATTAGAAATCCACCTATTTCTGCCTCATCAACACCAGGATCACACACACACACACACACACACACACACACACACACACACACACACGACACATTCCTGGCTATTTTAGGTGGGTTCTGGGGATCAAATTCAGGCCCTTATATTTGTATAGTAAACACTTTGCTGGCAGAGCCATCTCCTAAGCCCCATGCAGTAATCAGAAAAAGGCAAAACCAAGAAGACTTTGGCGCGAAGTCAGAATGTGTACTACACTAAAGTGAGTAAGAGGAGGAAGGCATTCCCATGGCCTGTGTAGGGTAGTTGAATCCGGTGGGGCCTTGGAAGGATTCAGGCTCTGTCTGTCCCTGCCCATGAGCTGTACTGTACAGATGGTGGGTAGAGAGCCGCTGTACGCTGATGAGAGGGACCTTGGGTCTTTGCAGGCATTGAGCATCAGTGAGCAAACACCAGGGATGTCTAATTTTTTTTAACCTGTGGGCATTTTGAATATTTTTTAAAAGTAATAATACTGCATTTAAAGAAAGAAAATTATACGTAAGCCTAAATTTGTTACTGTCTGAACAAGTGGCATTGACAAACTAAATTTTCCAAAGCTCAGTGCTTCCCTCAGAGTAAACCAGAAAAGGGTGGGGAGAGCCTTCCTTGTAGATCACAGGCAAGCTCCTCAGGCAGTCCTCGTTCCCACAAAGAACTTTCTCTTGGAGAAAGGAAGGGGAGAGGAGAGAGAGAGAGAGAGCTGGAGGAGACAATGAACCATTCTTCTCTCAGCCAAGGAGCCAGCTCCTTTATTCATGTTAAATAGCTTTGTCATGTGAGGGAACAAGTCAGGAGGTTTAGTCAAAAGATAATTCTCCCATCCCTGAGGCTAGTCAGTGTTCCTCTCCCACTTTTTAACAGTTTAGTGTGCAGTCCCCCAATCTGTCTAGTTTGGAAAAATTTATTTTTAATTATTTGAATTGTGACCAAGAGCATGTATATTAATAATAGACCCCCCCCCATTGGGTGATTTTCCTGTTTCTGTGATAAAAACACTCTTAGAGAAGCAGTTTGAGAGTGAAAGGGTTTAAACTGGGTCTCAAGTGGACCCACCATTGGACATGGCAGGAAGAGATTGGGGCAGCGGCTCTGTTGCTCCCACAGTGAGGGGGTGGGGAATGCTGTGCTCAGCTCACTTTCTTTTTTGATTCAGTCGAGGACGCAGGTCTATAGAGTGATGCCACCTGCAGTTAGCATGGGTCCTTCCATCTGTTAACCTAACTGAGTTAATCTCTCACAGGCAGGCCCAGAGGCCTGACTTCTAGGTCATTCTAGATCCTGTCAGTTTGACAAGATTGATCACCACATCCCTTATTCCTACTAGATATGGATGAATATGTTTGCATAGTATTACTAAGACCAGATGCCAAATTTAGCCTTTCCAGACTTCTGGTAAACCTTTGTGTGTCCCTTCTTGCTTGGCATTGCTGTGGGAAGCTCTGCACAATGCCTCGCTATGGCATACATTTCAGTGAATTTGTTGCTCAATCAGAATCTTAAATACTGTTCAAAATGAGTTCTTTGGTGATGCTTACATGTAATTTTGAATATCAAACTCTGCCTCTGCTAGGCATTTCCCCAAGATAACAAACGCCCAAAATATGTCTTTTAGATCAGTGCCACTCAGGGGATATTTGTCTCTAGTCTGTGAAATATTTGTTACCCAGGCCGTAAAAGGAGTTTCTATAAAATAAATTTATAGAAACTTGAGGGTAACTGTATTTGAACAAAGTTGAGGCTTGTTTACCAAATGCCAGTATTCAGCTCCTTAGCTGTTTGTATTATGGTTAACAGAACCCGCTTGGGAAGGAAATGAAAACTGCCTTAAGTCAGCTAGCCCTTAAACAACACGAGAGGCCCTCGACAGCACCTGAAGCTCAAGAGCTCACTCAAACAGCAACTCACGAGATCCTGGCCTGCTGCTCTTCCTGCGCTCTTCATCCCACAGTGGCAATTTTCTCTTCTTGACTGCTCCGCAAATGCTTAAGAGTTGTGACTCATAATCGATTTTATTTTGAGAGAGTTTCTTGCTCTGTATCCCGGGTGGTATCAAAGTCCAAATCTTTCTGCCTTGGCCTCCTATCTGTCGGGATTGCAGATACGGTACTGTGGAGAGGGGAGGAGCTCAGAGGCCCCATGCTCTCTGGGGAGCTGTGGGCCACTGACAGCTCGGCTCGTTGTGTGTATGCCACTTGTAGGTTGTGCATGCTCCAATGCGTGGCCACGCACCCCTGCACATTATAGACAGCACTTATTAGACTCAGTGAGTTATAAAGATAAAAGAGAGAATATGAAGCTGGTGGCACA